TCTGTGACCTTAGTGACCTGCAATTATGACAGAAGAAGGTTTCTAATTTTGGAACATTTCCTCTTTTTTTCTTTCTTCTGGTAAAGAAGGTGACAAAGTTTCCCTTGTAGTAAGGTGCATTTACCTGAAGTATCCCGGATACGATGACTGTCCCACTGTGGACAATATTCAGGATATGAGGCTAATATGGAACTCTATAGTTGTAATGATAAACAGGATAACGTCAATTGTTGCTGACAGAGGTTGCATCAGACTTTACAAAGCAGGCCGGAGTCCAAAGGAGATTTTCATCCATTTTTTTAAAATATGTAGTAGAAGTCTGTTTAAACTGTCAACAGAGCCTGAGGTGTAAAAGACAAGCAGTTCATCTGTAAGTGACAAAAACAAGCTGGCCTTATTAGATGGGTCAGGGATCTGTTTCTCCTCTTCATCTTTTCCTCCCCCCACTGTTTTGGTCCGCAGCCCTTAACCACCACCCTGCCAACCCCCAAAAATCCTTAGAGGCAGCTAAAAAAAGAGTACAATTATGCTCTTATTTTAGCTTATCTGAAAGGATCCTCAGGGTCCACCAGCAGCAATTTACAGGTTTTAGCTATCAGGAGAAACTGTCTTTCCAAAATGTCAGCAAACACCCTCACTTTAATTACATGACATCATCAGTAATATATGTGGGGGCTTTTACGAACCCCCAAGGGTTTAAATTAAGAAGTAAAAATGGCACAGCATGATGATGTCTTTCAAAGCATTAAAATTCCATAATGAATGAGTTCTGGTTTTAAGATGACTATCGAAAAATTCTGCTAGGGGCTACCGTTCATGCAACAATAACAACTTTTGTCCCAAAATGTTTTTAAAAATAAGAAAAACCACCATTATTAGAAAGATCACAGTCATGACGTGGATGTTTTCATTTCACTCACTCGGAATAACTAGATATGTGGCGTGTCTGAATTTCAAATTCAGCAGAGTAATCATACAACGTGAGGTGATGTTGTGAGAAAGGATTTTACTTCCAAAAGAGGAAAATTTAAATGACTCTTTGGCATCTGGGAACTTGAATGTTTCGAAGCTTTTGAAGGTTCTATTAAAGATGCATCTCAGACCATATAGCTTCTGTTAAATTACCAAAACAAAGGACACACTGGAGATTTGTTTGTTTGTTTTATTCCGCTTTATACACTGACAAATTGTTGTGCAGCAGATTCTTGGTTCATTACTTCAATTTCTACATCACTGAAAAGGTCAAGGTTGTTTCTGTATGAGACCTGTAAGATGACACAAGTTCCTTTTTTAATGCATTTTAGACACTGATGCCATTCAAATGTCATTTACTATTTCATTAGTTACCTTGCCCCATAGGTCAGTATTTCATTAGTGACCTCTGACAGAACTCTTAATGGCAACTGAAATTACTTCATTTAGGTGTCATGTCATGTTTAATCTAAAACTCTTTTTGCATGTCAGCCTTTATCATGGAATTGACAGAAATCCATAGATAAAGTGGGGCTTTTCTAGTGCTGTCCCCACCGAGAGGAACAATTGGCTGCCAACAGCCAAATTCCAATCGGTCCCCTACACCCCCCTCCCCGATGAACCTTACTCCATGGGGAGTCATGCTTGCAGCAGCAGGGTTTCTAAGCAAAGCAGTATGGTAGATATGAGACATCCTAGCCCTTCTCCAACTCTAACATGAGGGTTTCACTTCAATGGAGAAAATGGAAACTGAAAAATCTACCTATTCTGTTTCCATTTCATTCAAGTGCTTATCTTATGATTACATTTCCTTAATATTTCACAGCTTTGTAATAACAGATGGATTTGTTAATATCAAAGGCTTTTAATGTGGATGGATTATTATTATGGAGGTTATTGGCATGTTGGTGTCCTGCAAATAGATCTTTGTGGTCTTCTAATGCATAAACTTTGCAGCTCAGACAAAGATACTATCCCTGGACCGCCTTAAGCCAGACTGCCTAAAAAGCAAAGAAAATGACTACCAGACTGAATAAGAGGAAGCAATATGCTGTGTAATCTTCATGCAATGACAATGAAATTTCAGTATAACTTGTTTCATCAATCACCTGTTTTGTAAGAAAAAAAGTCTGGCAAGATCTGTGCTCTTTACAGTGTTTAGATCGATAATATTTTGGTGTAGTTTCACTATTACCTGCAACCATGTTCTGTTCGATTCTTTTTCAGATCTCTAACACTCTGGAAAAAATGTGACCCACCCTGTTCTAACCTGTTAATGAACACATAGAAAAATCTGCAGATGTCTTAGACTGTTACACATTTTTGCAGTTGCTGCTATGATTGCATTCATAGGATCCCTTTGTGTCCTAGATTAAGCCATTTTGCAGGTCTGGCTGTATTTGCTCATTTAAGGGACTTGTTTGTAAAAAAAAAAAAAAAAGTCAGAAATTTTTTTTTTGTTTGTTTGTTTGTTTGTTTGTTTTTTTGTGGGTTTTTGTTTTTGTTTGATTTGGTTTTTTTGTTGTCTTTTTTTTTTTTTTTTTGGGGGGGGGGGGGGTATTTTATTGAAAGTTCTAAGCAGGAACCAGCCCTCCAGCTCACACTTTGAAAACCACCAGCGTCAGTGTGCACAGCTTCTATGTGAATGAGCTTTGCTGTCTAATTAAAGCAGCAGCAGCCTGTCTGTCTGCGCAGATACATGCTGCCGGATGAAGATTCCTAATAAGGAGGAGATCGTAGCGGAGAACACACACAGTGTTAATCCCATTTCCTGGTTCCTTCTCTCACACCCCTAGGCTTTGGCTGTGTGTGTGTGTCCTAATAGCTTTCTTATGCCATCCAGTTCACTGGCCGGTCAGTTGGTTTGTCAGTCAGTAAGTCAGTTGATAAACCTTTTACCTCATCACACAGTTTAACAGAAGTGAAAGCAAACACATCACATGCTGAGAGGTTTTGTGAAGCAAACCTCAAACTACTCTGATTTTAGCAACATTTTGCAGTTTGTAAATGTGTTAAAGTCTTGTTTTAACTTCACTCATAACTAATAGCAAATGATCATCTGATCTCAGCTGAGTTTAACAAAGGTTTCATGTTGCGGTGCAGATGTTTGAGGGAGGATTCATGTGAAAGCATCTGGAAATCCCAGAATTAAGAAATTAGTCAGAAAACGAAGAATCCAGTCATTCGGTCAAGATGTTCAACATACTCAGGTGAAACTGGGCCAACCACCAGTCAGTTTGCCAGTTGGCCTGTAGGTGGCACATTAATCCACTTATTTAGCCTGCTCCCTGCTCTTTGTGTGAATGTTCACTGCTGCTGTACCAAAATGTTCTTGTGATCTCTATCTGTAACCCCCCCCCCCCCCCCCACCCCCCCCCCCCCCCCCCCCCCCCCCCCCCCCCCCCCCCCCGAAAAAAAAACAACCATCTTCTAAAATGTGGAGCAGCAGATTGCTTCTTTAGTGCAAGTTCAGTGCAGCTTTGCTGTTGTTGTCTGTGTGATATTAATACTTCACCCTCTTGTGAAAACACAGAGTACACTTTCACACTCAGCAGAAAGTAGTTTACATGTGGCAGACCACCTAGGGGGCTGCGATTACATCTAAAGACGCAGAGTATGCTCAGAAAAGCAGTGTGTGAATAACAGTGAATGAAGAAGAGCTGTTACTTTACATGTTTGAATACATGCTGGGGTCTTTGAGCTTATAATAAGAGACTTTTTTGTGGAGACTTATGCATATCATAAGTCATGATCATCTTAGTAAATACCTAATTTAAAAAATAGATACAGACACACTTTTAATGCATGTAATAAAGCTCATTTTAAAATCATTGGCACGTGTGTTGGGTTTAATTTAATTTATAGAAAGGGGTTTGTATAAGATTTCCTTACAGTGTTCCTTGGACTTTGCTAAGAACTCACGTGAACAGGCTAACTGGCAATCTGATTGGCCGACGTGTCTGCACGTGTACCGGCAAAATCCTTGACGGTTACGTAAGTGGAGCAGCGCAAGGGACTCACTGGATGGAGGGCTACAGTGTCCGAGTGGGACGACTGGAAGATAATTTATTACAAGGAAGGATCTGTAAACGATCAGTTAGGAAATAATGGAGGAAACAGTAAAATGTGCATATGTTGTGTTTGTTCGTTCCGTTTTGTTTGAATTTATTCTGCAACAAAATATACAAAAACTACATCATAGATAAATAAAAATTAGCATTTTCTGAAGAATAAAAAGGACTGTAAAATATACATTTTCGTGTTTGAAATGTTTAATTGTGCATAAGCTTAAAGTGGAGTAGGTGATATGATGACGCTTTAGGTCCTTTAGTTTGTAGTAGTAGTAGTAGAGGGGGAGGGGTGGATGGTGAAACACTCTCGCAAGAGTTGGATTTGGAGGATAACGTGGCTCTGAGAGCACTCAGTCCATCTGTATGTCAGCCTGTCTCCCCTTCTCATATTACAATTAAAGGGACAAAGAGGGGGAGGAAACGCGGTATAAACCCCTTAACCCGTAAAATGCGTGAGCGTATCCTCTACATTCTCCAGTAATGAGTGAGATGTATGTGTTACTCATTTTAATCTCTGAAATATATCATTTAAAAAAATAATAAAAATGTTCATTTTAACACCTCAAGTGTGGTTCACTTGACTGTTTTATCATTTAGACTGTCAAAAAATCACTGTTTAAATGGTTTTATATTGGCTTAACTCTGTTGTAGCTTTCAAATGACGCCTTAAGGCGAGAATGAGAAAAGTAGGCAGGCAGTGAGCAGTTAGATACCCGGCTTTTTCTCAGTCCACGTGTGTTTCTTCCCAACTTTACCCGCCACCGTATTCCTGGAAATCAAGCAAGCGTATGTATCACTCCGCGCATAGTCCCGGCTTCAGTGTGCAATTAAACCAAATTGCCGTCACCCCCTTTTTTTCCGCGTGGACTTAATCAAAAGAGAAACCGACTGCGGTTACATCAGCGGTGGATATGATTGCCGTTAACGACACTTTGTTGGCTATTATGTTTTGGCGCGAGTTTAGCGGCGGCGGAAGGATCGCGGCGTACGCCCTGTATTAAACTCAGTGACCGCTGCAGCCACACCTACTCTGGCTGATACAAGCGGCGGAGGAGAGAAGAAAAAGCAGGATACACCCGAAATGCTGCCCTGCACAAACTTCAATTTTACACGCAGAAAGTTTCACTTGGGCAGGATTTTCTAGTCGTTTTTGTCTCGCTGTGGACTTTGCTGGATAAATAGGGCATTTCTACTTTTTGTCTTTATTTTGAGTGCACTCTCCTGTAAGGACAGTTGAAGGTAAGACAGCTGTTTTATCGGAAACCTCATTGCACGCATGTGAGAATGGGGGTTTTGTGCATTTCTTTGTATTTTTTTTCTCTTTTGGTGTATCTTAGCGGTGCTTCAAAGAGGAAAAAATGACTGCCGGTTTCACGTGGGGTCCCGGCGCTGTTTAACGCATGCGGGGTTTAAATGACCGTCAACGCCGGTTAACCTTTAAATCCTTTTACGGACTTTGTGCTTTTACGAACGGTTGACTTTTACTTTTCTTACGGAGATTCATTCTTAGACTCCGTGTAGTTATTTATATTCTATTTTTCTAGTGTGTCACCTTAGTGAATTTGGTTAAATGAATCATTGCACAATAGATTCTGCAGATGCATGAAGGCAGGACGACCTAACAGCAGATGCGTTCAAAAACTTAAGGAAATTCGTGCTCTTCTGTTTTCACATTCCAGCTGTGCTTGGTCTCAAGTATTTTTGGTCGAAGTCCTTCTTTCGTGCAAGAGATATTTTGGATACGTTAAGAGAGAGGGAAGTGTAGAATGTATTTAATATTGCTGCGTAATCGTTGTCTGCGCTCTGCATTTAAGTTGTAGCTCAGCTTTTCCCAGGCCGTGATGGTAAAGAAAGGCAGCCTTTAACTCCCGGACACACACTGCTGCTTTTGTTCTCCCACACTGCCTGCTATACATGCACATACCATACGACCCCACAGGAGTATTATAAGAGTTCCCCCTCCCCCAAATAGGACCATAGGTCAGGCTGTTCCAGCTGAAACGACCTTGGTTAAATGAGAAATGCTCGTTTTTGTTTTGTTTTTTTTGTTTTCAGTGAAACTTTTTTAAAGCTTTTGTTGTTAAAGCTTTTGGGAGTGGCTTCTAATTGAGTAGAAAATCAACATTTAGTGTCCCATGCATGTTTTTGCGTGTGTGTGTGCTTAATAGTGTATTTCTGAACAGAGTTGGGGAAACTGTCCTTTGTGTTGTGCCAGAAAGCTGAGGTTTTTTTGTATTTGTTTAACAGCAGCAAGTGGCCCAAGTATCGTAGCAAATGCAACGCACCCATTCCTTTAGACTCAGAGTATTGTTTTCTGTGTCAGCAGTCAGCCTGAATTAATTTGCGAGTGTTTTATTATTCTGAGTAGGAACAATGTAAATGGTGGAAAGAGGTGTAAAGTTTCTGTGTGTCCCAGCTGTTCCTGTGATGTCATGGGTAGGGGGGTATTTTTTTGAGGAGGAGGGGGGGGGGCTTAAGGGCCTCCCCAGGAGCAGAGGGGCGGGGTTATAGTGATGTAAACACAGATAAAAAGGTAGAGCCTGCAGGTTGGGGACTCAGTCTAGAGGAACAGGTTAAAACTATCACTACAACAGGTGTTGCTGCTGCTGGGATTAACCCAATAGACGCTGACTCTGCGCTGCTGTAAAGACACTACTGGATTAGCTTCTCTGGATTTTAACTTTATAAGCTCCACTACCTCTTAGATTTTTAATTTATACCGTTTTTTGTTGTCGTTGTCACAGATTTCAAACATGTTGGAAAGTTTCACTCAGTCGCAGGACTGGTTTTGTTCAGAGCCGCTGCTCTTTGATGACGAGTTCTGCCAAAGCCTGATGAAAGACCTCCAGGCATTACCGACACCTCCGCAGTCGCCCCCCATGAAGTCTGGGCTGGGTGGTGATAAGCCTCTGTCCAAGGAGGACCAGCTCAGCTACGTGTCGGATATTCTACTGGAGGACCATGACATGCAGCTCAACTGGCAGTGTGACTTCTTCCACTCTGATGCTGAGAAAGAAGGCGAGCTTAACCAGCCCTGCTCTGAGGAAGCTGAGGACTGCCTCTGGCAGTGCCTGGCAGCTGAGGAGAAGCTTGTCTCCTCACTACTCGGTTGCAGCCCCGTACTATCTGACATTGATACCCGCATCTTTGAGGAGATCGCCGGCTCCACACTTGACTGCCAGAGCCTTATGGAAGCTCCGGAGCCCAGTGAAGCCACATCAGACTACGGATCAGTTGGTGGCGAGCTGTCCACATATTCATCTAGCGACTCTGGTAAGTTGAATTTTTTCATTAAGTTGTAGTGCTGATGATCAACTCTTACTTTAATCTCAGTCCTGCTTTGTTGTTGCAGTGCTTATCAGTATAAACACCCACACCCAGAACAGCCTCACTGGCATTTCATTGACAATTCTGTTAATGTTTACTGGCACTAAGCCCAAACTGTTCTGTGTTCAGCTTATCAAGACAGCAGCACCCACCTTTAATCTGCAGAAGCCTTAATGGCTGAAGTGTGTTATTAAGGTGTGGGTGAGGTTTAAGATGTTGAGTGACATTAAGTAGATTAGGGGTTTTAAGAGAAATGTGTGTGTGACTCATGTTTAGCAGTGAGAGTTGTGGCTCAATCTATTACGCTTTTAATGAGTCATTTTACTGCCTTAAGCCCTGCAGCATCTCTGGGCTAGAACGGAGATGGCAGATTGGCATTTATATTAGTTTTTCAGTGGTTACTATCTCTTAGGATATGATAGCTTGTTGTGATTTGGTAATTCCACTGGAATTCTTTGTGGATGTTGTAAACTTTTAACTATTTCAAGTTAGATTTTCACAACTGACTGGTGTCCTTCGGTGGGCTTTGTGCAGTCTATACGGTGTGTCCTTTTAAAAGTTGTGCCACAACCCACCAAGATTATGACATGGTCATGGGGGGCCAAAGAACTACTCTAATTTTTTATTTTTTTTTCTTACAGAGGAGGAAATTGATGTGGTGACTGTGGTCCGCTGTTCCTCAAGTTCCTCCCCTGAGCCTACATTGGCTGAACGTCAGCAGAAGCAAGAAGAGGAACAACGTGCTCGGCAGCGATACCGCTTTGAAATCCAGCTACAGCACAACTACGCTGCTCCCTGCCCTGCATCACCGCCGCCATCAAACAAGCGTGCACGAGGGAGCGATGGCCCGTCACGCTTCCACTGCCTTTCACGCAGTTCTTCATCAACCTCATCGCGTCACTCATCCCGAAACTCAACAGAGACGGAGGATGAGGAGGAGCGGAGAAAGACTCACAATGTGATGGAGAGGCAACGCCGAAACGAGCTAAAGAACTGTTTCATGCGCTTGCGTGACAACGTGCCTGAGTTGTCGCACAATGACAAGGCATCTAAGGTGGTGATCTTGAAGAAAGCCAGAGACTGTATTTATAGTTTAGAGGATGAGTCCCACAGACTGCAAACCAGGAAAGACAAACTTAAAGCCAAACAGGAAAAGCTGAAAGCCAGACTAGAGCAGCTCCGTAGGTAACGGACCAGGATTGGACATTTGTAGGTTTTCAGAGACTTCTTGGGGGGGGGCGGGGTAAGGGAAGAGACTTTGTAGATAGATGGGAGTAAGAAATGGCTTTTCCTGCTGGAAAGCGCACATACAGTTGTTTCTGTCATGTAGACTGTATATTCACATGCACACAGTTTCCCTGGACATGATATAACAAACATTGCCTCATAATTAATCATTGTCATGCCTTGACTGTAGAGTGTAGTGCATTTCTTTCTTTTCTTTTTTTTTTTTTTTTTTTTTTTTTTTTTTTGGTCCCCCTGCCACCTCAATACACAAGACAAAGACAACATCCTGTCATTTCTTTTGCGTCATCTGTGGGAGTATGTCAAATGTCAATGATTTAAAGCAAAGTCTCAATTAGACCAATTAACTGGAAGCCACTGCAGTACAGTGTTGTAGTTTAATGAAACTTGAATATTATTTTCAGGATCTTTTATAGCCATATTGACTATGATCCCTCCATTCTCACAGGTCTTTGGTGGCTTTAGAGTTAATTGTGCTTTGTTAACTTTGACTTAATGTCATTACAAAGTTGTGCCTTCAGCCTTGTATGGCTTTTATGTTTGGGCTAAACACAACTATTACAGAATGATGTATGTTAATCCCAACGCTGTACACAGCAATGCTTGGCCACAGTTCAGCTCAACACTAGTTCACTCACTGAGTCATGTGTTATCTGTTAAGCTCAAAGGTGAGCCATATTAAGTGGACTTCAGGTTTGTTTTTTGTTAAGACTGAACTGCAAGCTTTGCAAAGCAGCCAAAGTTTGGGCAAAATCTCTAACATTTATATTTTGCGTGTGTGTGTGTGTGTGTGTGTGTGTGTGTGTGTGTGTGTGTGTGTGTGTGTGTGTGTGGGGTTTTTTTTTTTGTTTTTTTTTTTTTAATAAACAAAAACAAAAAGAGGACAGACTCAAAGTTTTAAATAGTCGGAGGAGGCTGCAACAACCGCAATCATAGTCACTTGATTCAGTCATTTTTCTTTTGTGTCAGTTCAGGTGAGTAAGTGTCATTTTGATTGGTCAGTTGGTGGCCCTTGTACTTGGATCAAATTGTAAAAAATGAACAGTGTTTAAAAGAAACAAAAATCACACTACTTATGATTTGAAATAAATATTTTATGTAAAGACTTATCAATCAACAAGGGCCACTCACTAATAAACATTCCCTGTTTTGAAAGGTTGGATTCACAGGCTGTTCTATACTCTCGCTGTAACACACAAAAATAGTTTAAGACATGAACATGTCCAGCAGAATCCTCGACTGTCAGGTGATTTATTTGCTGATGTTGCTATTAAGGTTAATAATGAAATGTGCAGATGGCCTAATTAGGTTTTGAAGTAAGTTCTTCCTAAATCAGTAAGTATTTGACACGTTGATAGCCAGAAGCAGTTTTGCCTTGAGATGCATGCTGTTCAGGACACTGTCTCCTTTGTTTTCAAACTAGTTCTTTCAGGGAAGCTTAATTGTATTTCTGCAAATATTTAACTGTTCATTTCATAGAAATTAGTCATATAACTGCCTTGTAAACAAAGTGAGCAGGGATGACTCAATTTTCTTTAGGAAACCTACCTCCACCTGGCTGCAATCGGGCCTATGATGTTTTTGTTTGCCTTTTGTTCTGTTGTACATATTGTACAGTTTTTGTTCAAGTGTACATTTAATATTGTAATATAACTTATTTTAGTCTTATTCATTCTTTGTTGTGAATGCACTTTTTTTTTTTTTTTTTTTTTTAAATAAAATTTAAAGTGTAAATTAGAGATGAAGTTTTTAGTGTGGTAATTTATTATGTGTTGTCAGAGCACTTACCAGAAGGGACAATTGGGGGGGACTGTGACATGCTATTAATGTCTCTTACAAAAAACCACTTGATCAATATACCTGAAACTTTTTATCGCCTAAGAGAACATATCTGTTCATACCCATTAGTATGAGCTCATCTTTTATTGTAAATAACAGTCTATTTTACAAGAATGCCCTGACAAAGTAATATAGTAAAGTCTGTGGAAGTTGCATAGTAATACACATATACAGCAAAAATGCACCAGTATAGATGCTAAAGAATGAAATATTTGTTAGCTGGTTCCCGGAGAAAGGAAGAGTAAATCTGACTTCCAAATAAATCTGGAAGTCGTCTGCATAAACATGGAAACTCAAATGATGCTTCTAGGACAGGGGTGTCAACCTTATTTTATATTGCGAGCCACATATAGACCACTTTGATCTTAAGCAGGCTGGACCAGCAAAACTCTTGTTTCTGTCGGTGTCAGGAAGCCTTTTTTTTTTTTTTTTTTTTTTTATGTTGTGGCGATTGCTTTTTAATTGTCATAAAAACCAGATTTCTATAGTTGAAAGTGGAAAAACAAACATCTGTTTTTCACAAAGAGGTTTTATTAGAGACGTAACTCGTTTTGCAATTTGTGAAAGTTGAAATTTTCTTTTGTACTGGATAGTAGAAATTAGGCTTTCAGCTGTTATTGTACTCACCAATAGACTGGTGTGTAATAAACAAGCAAATAATGCACGAATTAGGGATTTTTGATGGGAAACTAGTCTTTCGAAGCACACAGAGAGAGCTATGAAGGAAGTGCAATTTTATGGTGGAAGCAAGACAGCCAACGTAAGTGGAAATTCATTAAAAGTCTTTTTCAAAAGTGAAGTATAGCGTAGTGATCTTGTTTTGCCGTTCAATGAATTTTGGTTGGAGAGTGATGAAATCTGGAGTTTCAGAATCTGTGAGATGTCGGTTTTCCGCACCCGATTGGCATTTCCTGTACGTGGGATCCACGCTTTGTGTTTACATCTGTTTGCTGTTTTAGCTTTTGGTGGTCATTGAAATTATGTTGTAAGCTTTTAGCTAAGATTCTGACTTTTCTGTGGATACCACATGTGTATGTTTAAATAACAGATCAAGTTAAATTAGATGTTGTCTCTCTCCCTTTCAAACAATCGAAATGTGTTGTGGGAAATGTAGTTTATGATCACTGTGTGCTTTTAAGCAGCAAACGATAAACTTATTTTAAGATAATCATTGAGAAGTTCACGCAGGACACATAAAACGGCATGGCGGGCCAAATTTGGCCTGCAAGCTTTGAGTTTCAGACATGTGTACTAGAGGATTATTTTATTGTATTAGCAGGTGCACCTTGTTAGCATTAGCTTAACAATCCACTCTCTTGTGTAAAAATACTCTCTTAAGGCCAAAAAAACCCCAAAACATTTTTCAACAACTTTAATGCTTGAAAACAGAATCCAGAAATCAATTGGTGATGTCATAGATTTTACATCCATCATTTATTTACAGTCTATGGTTTTAGCATAAACTGTTATCATAAAAAATGTTCTAGACAATATGCAACCCTAGACAAATAAGGAGGAACATGTGTTCCACTGTTTTTCTGGCATTACACTGGTTTTAAGGTTTTACTAACCCTCCTGTATAGCCCCACACTTATTTTTCCTACTTCTCCTCTTCCCTATCTTCTATACTCTCCATTCCCAACCATTTAGGTGAGCTAGGCTTAAACTGGCAAGACAAAAAGATGTGTGATCTGTGCAAAGGTTTTAGGCAGGTGTGAAAAAATGCTATTAACAGAATGTCTTCAGAAATATTAATGATTGTTTATTTGCCCCAAATGTATTCTGCAGCAGGACAACAGACCCAAACATACAACCCATCGTCAAAATAAAAAAGAACAAGAAGTACTGGAAGTGATGGTATGGCCCCTACAGAGCCCTGATCTCAACATCATCGAGTGAGATGCTCTTTTGAATTCAAAGGATGGTCACACCAAATATTGATGTAGTTTAGATTTCTCTTTTATTCATTAACTGTATTTTGTTGATTGATGAAAATAAAAGATTAACACTTCCATTTTTAAGAGCATTCTTTGTTTACAGCATTTTTCCTCACCTGCCTAAAACTTTTGCACGGTACTGTAGTACTGGGCTAATCAGCCAGAATGAGTAAAACTCCTGTTAAATGTACAGGTTTTTTTTTTTTAAAGTAACAATTTGTCCAATTTTTAATACTGGCAAAATATCAACAAGAACGTGAGAATTATACTTGTCCCTATGATGACCTGCGTGAGATGTTATTCCCACTGCGTCTGGCTTGCAAATTCATAGTCCTTCTTCTGTTTAAAAATGCTCACCCTCACACACCTGTCACTCTCGCGTATCAACGGTATCTCCAGACCGCTCCCATGTGTAGAGATATGCAAGCATTTTCCCAGGGCAAAGTGTGCTCAGCAGCAATTGTATGTTGTGCAATCTGAGCTCATTCCATGTGTTGCAGTCTGCATGTGCAATCCGTGGACATGTGCCCAGTAGGTGTATGTGTGTGTGTTAAACTCCCTTGAGTAATCTCATCCCTTCTATATTCACTTTTGGGGAAAAAAACACAGTACACTTAATTTAAAAATCACATTATATTGAGTAAGAGAGTAATGTAAGGATAGCTGTAATGTGTGTGAACATATGTTCTTTATGATCACTAAAAAATAAACATGATTTAAAAATGCTCACCCTCACACACCTGTCACTCTCCCATGATTTAAAAATTCCATTTTAGGGCAAAGACGGGGGTTGAAGGTAAGGGTAATTGGTACTATGGAAAAAGTGTACAGAAAATAAATGTAAGTCAGTGTAATATCACATTAAACCATCGACATGCAGCTTAGTTTACAGCTATGTAGGTCAAGGTGAGCAAGTGGTTTTGTGACTGTCAGGTGGATCAGATAGTGACTACAAGATTGGTCAAGATACCATAAAAGCCTTTTTATCTGCAACGGCAGATTAGGCTTGTCGTTTTAAGAAAGGGAAGCCTGATAAGTCACTCAAACAACATTAATATACACAAGTAATTATTTCAGCTTTCCTGTTCACAGTATTCAGTTAAAGGGACGTAAAAGTGAGAAGGTGGAGCTTTGTGTTTATATTTTTCCTGCTAAGATTGGGGTTAAGATTATCTTTAATCTGATTGCTGATTACCACAGTGTATTTCTCTGAATGAATCATGCAGGTTTATAGTGCAGTCTGAAGTAATAGCTCTTTCAGCTGCTTACCTGAGAATTGACTGGTCAACCAACAACTGACCAACAGACCAACCTTCAGTTCTTCACACAAATATGCACATCGCACATGGTCAGCTTATGCTTCTGATACTTTTTTCCCACGGTATCTTTGGTTAACATTTGTCACTGAGCAGCTTATGCTGCCTTCCTTGCCGACCTTGGAAGTCGGGCATCTGAACTGTGAGTGACATCACTCCTAAGTTGAGCCCTTTCCAGTGATAAAGTAACATAAGCAAGAATAAATGGGATTTGTTTTGCTCCTTCAAGGTAGACCTAATCATGCATCAAAAGCAGTAACGAGCAATGTTTGATTTTTTTTTTTTTTGCACTTAAAAATAGCCCTACAGCACATTCATAGGTAGAGCCTGGTCAATGCTCTGTGTATGGCATATTTAGTGAGTCGCCAATATATAGTAGTAGTAGTACTAGTAGTACAGACTAAGTTTTACAATCTTACTTATGTGTAATGTGTACTAACGCCACCTTGGACTGTTGACACAGGTTGGTGATGCTGCTCCGAGTTTCCGAGTTGAAAGCATTCCGACTGGGAAGTTGGAAATTCTGAATGGCTCAGATTGTTTCAGGTTGGTCACTTTCAACTGAGATGCTCTAAATTCAACACATGGTACACTCCGCTTGAGAAAACCCAACAAAAACTACTGATACCATGAAGGGTGCAGGATCTCCGTGTTTGCTTGGACCATTGAAGACCTTTAACGTAGACTGAGAAGACAGTGTAAGAAGTTCTTCTGTGTAATGTCTACAAAAGTCCAGATCTGCAGTGCACATGCGACTTATGAAAGAGGACACAAAAAAAATTCCAAAGGCTGAGTATTTGACATAGTAAGGTTTTGGGTGGAGTGTTTAAATTCAGGCTGGAACAGACCAGGCCCAGTGTGTGTGTGTGTGTGTGTGTGTGTGTGTGTGTGTGTGTGTGTGTGTGTGTGTGTGTGTGTGTGTGGGCGTTGCACAGTAGCTGGCTGTATTTACTTCTTGTGTGGTTCTGTGACTTAAATATTCTGAGTCATTTATTCTGATCTGCCACATCGTAAAAAAGAGAGAGAGTGACGATGAGACATGGAAAAATAATACGAGGGAGGAAACAAATGAAAAGAGTTTATAAAGAGAAGGAGAGAGAGAGGGGGGGGGCAAAAATAAAGCTTTAGAGACTAAAAGCAGTGCCCATTTTATTTTCCAATGTGCAGGAAATAATGACAGACTGAAAAGAAATGTTAGAACATAATTCACTCCAAACCACATTCTGACTACAAACCGTGAACCACAGTACAACACACTCATCATAAGTGTATCATTCTGACTCTATCGTGAAATCTGGTCCCCATATGATTGTGTTTTTGCAATCTGAAATACAAGGAGTGGTCCAGTGTGAGGGTTGGGGAAGCATCTCCGTCACTAAGAAGCACACACTCGCAATGTCTGACAGGAAGTTTTGGTTTTGTTATGCTTTTATTTTGAAGTTCACTAACCACTTTCTCTTTTGAAGTCAACTTCCTGAAAGCCTGATTCAGGGAGTGCTCGCATGATTATGGGTAATGACGTTCACGTTATCTTTTTTTTTTTTTTCTGCCTGTCCCGTTTGGTTCTTTTGCCATCAGCATTATTGTCTAAAGGCGAGGAAAGATGCCCAACGGATTTA